ACTAACTACTACTACTACTTCTCTCTCTCTCTCTCTCTCTCTCTCTCTCTCTCTCTCTCTCTTTGCTTATTCAATCCTTAGGTCACTCATATAGGTCATCTTTATGACATATAGTGGACGTCAGATGTGACATTAAAGGTGATAATGGGACACTATCTTCTTTGATAATTTTCACTAATCCATTGATCCATTATCCAGCAAATGGTTTTATATGAAATCATTGATGAATTGTGGGAGACATAGCTCATCACTTCTCTCTCTCTTTCTCTCTCTCTCTCTCTCCCTTTCTTTTCTTTCTCAGCTTTCTCAACTTAAAGGCCAAAGGTGAACATTTGAGGTTGACATCGACCCTTACCCATGTAATTTCTTCTCTGTTGAATAGTCATTCCTATACTGTCGACACAAATATATGCCTCTCTCTCTGTCTACATGTATGTCTGTGTGTGTGTATGTGTATGTATGTGTATGTATATGTATGTGTGTGTATGTATGTGTATATATTTGTATGTATGTGTATGTGTATGTCTGTGTATGAGTGTATCTGCGTGTATATGTGTGTATGTGTGTGTAGATGCATATATATATATATATGTGTGTGTATATACGTATGCGTATGTGTATGTATATGTCTATGTATGTGTGTATGCGTATGTGTGTATGCCTCTGTGTCTGTGCGCATGTGGTGCTATCACATACAACTGGAATTTGAAACATTGACGCGTTTCGTGACGTCTAGACGTTCTGTCGTTTGCAGTAGTCGTAGTAGTACTATATAATGCACTATGCTCTCTTCTCTTCTTTAATGTTTACTTCCTAGCTGACGTACGTGTTACGTGTTACGTGTTACTTTGCGTACGCTTACTCTTTTATCATATGCATGTTATTTGACATACAGTGTACGTGATAATTGCTTATTAAATTATCCGGAATCCTTTTTCTAGTTTTGAACTTTACTATAAAACCGGAAATGTTGATTTCTAAATCGATTGACGATAGAGTAACCGGAAACTAACAAGACAGTGATAAAAAGGGAAAAGATTTTTCAAGCGGAAGCTAGTTTCAAAATTTGTTGCAGTACCGGAAATGATTTTACAATATCGGGGATGATTTAAGAAAAACCAAAGAAATTAAGTAGGAATTTAAAATAAAATTCGTCCAATTCTTACGTTTTTTTTTCTCTTTTCTTATTCATTCTTTTATTTTAAATCATTTTTTCTTATATATTTACGTGCATTCCGGATTTTCCTTGTTTTATAATCTCATTCCAATACCGGTTTCCATATCTTTTTTAATGTTCTACATTTTATTCATAATCCTGAATTTAGTGATTCTCCCACAAATAATTAACACTTTTAGTTTTCTAAATCTATCAATGATACCTTCCTGACCTTTTATACTTCACTGTAATTTATTTCCGGTTGATATCACCATATATGCTAGAAATCCTTTCTGAAGTTACTATTATTGCTTATTGAAATATTTACAATTAAATTAAATTAATTTAAGCTAATAACATTACTGTATTGCAGGAGTTTTAATGGATGAAACGGCAGCATTGGATTCATTACCAATAAATGGTCAAGAATGTTCCAAAATATCGGAATCATATGATTTCCATCCATTAACATTACAATCTTTAAACTTGGCTCATAATCAGTTGACAGTAGCAACTACTCCTGATATTAATACCGTTGTGAAATCATCTGAAAAGTATGATTTGTCTTTTTTTTCTTCCAAAAAACTTGATTTTTCCACCATTGAAATTACATAAAGATACTTTTTTTGTTATTCCTTTCATTTTCACTACATTCTTCAAATGTTTTAGAAAATGAAATATTTGCAAGAAAATTTAAAAAAAAATTTTTCCTTCCTTCTAGATTTTATCTCCATCTTTCCCTTTTTTTTCCTTCTTTTCCTCTTTCTCTTTCTTTTTACTCACTGATTAACCATTTGCTGTAATATATGTAAGCTATTGTTAATGTTAATAATGATGATTCATTTTGCATTTCATCTTATTGTTGACATTAACTATTGTGAAATATTTTAAATTTCAGTAACCGTTTCTTTTTTTTCAAATTTTTTTGTAGAGATTGTGAAATTCGTGAAAAGAAATGAAAAAAAAAGGTCCAAATAATAAAAATTGATTTTTATCAGATTATTAAGTAATGATTGCTACATAATTGCATTCAATCTTATTTGTTATTTCTGTTTTTAAATGAAATATCATTTGAATATGTGCATACATGCAGGTATTGTTGTCAGACATTCAATGATATCGGAAAATACTGGTGGAATATTAGCGGATGTGATGGAGAATCTAATTATAAAGTATCAACTGAACTATCACAACAGGTATGTATTGTGGGATAAATTGTTAAAAGGCATATAGCGACATAATTAATTCAAATTCAAAAATACCTTTGAATGGTATTTATAATTCTATTTGTATTTGATAAGTCATAGTGGAAATTCTTTCTTGTAGCGTTGAAAAATTTGCGGATGATATATTTGAATGAATGATATAAATTTTTTGGTTCAGAAATAGTTTTTGGAGATAATTATTTGCAACTTAATAACAAATGAGTGATTCGGTTAATTCTCAAATTGATTTGAATGGCAAACACTCTGAATTTTTATCTCTTTTTTGTAGTTAATGTTCAGCTGTAACTGTCAAACTGCACTACGCATGCATTTATCGAACTGCATTGTTATTTCTTGTCCTATCATTAAACTTCATATGTGATGAAATTTTTGAAAGGAACTTTCAGAATGGATTTATTAAGAAGTCGAAGTATGGGGAAAATTTTCGAGGATCTAACGTGAATGAATTCGAGCAGGTATTACTTTATCGCTATTGTAACTTGTAAGATGTTGATAAGCTATTGTAACTTGTAAGATGTTGATAAACATATATTTACGATTCTGGTGTAATACCGAACACATAGAACTATTTAGAAGGCAAGCAGTATAGTTTTTCTGATTTCAGTTTTGATTTTATCATAATCATTAGCTTTGATAACAACATACTACAAATTCAAAAATGTCTTGGTTAACTGAAGTAAATATACAATATTAGTGTTGATTTTCACCAAAGTGCAAAATTCGACAAGTCTTTGGAATATTTGGAATGAACTTTTTTAGCTTGTAAGAATATACTTTTTAAAAATATATTTGAAGATAACTGTGCATATTTCATTAATAATATTTTAGCAGCAACTCTTCCGCATTGCTTTACGGATGTTACATTACGAATTCTAATTAGTGTCTTCCTTCGTAATTACTGTACTAATGTTTCGACTCTAATATTTGCTGACAAAATCATTGTAATAGTTCGTTTGTATCTGTATCTTAATGCAAACGAATTATTAAAACAATTTGAAGCCACAGCAATATGTTGATTAAAAAGTTTCATGGTGCTTTTGAAATTTTCAAGTCAGATGCGCTTTTTTCCAGAAAAGCTTCTTAACTTCACTCTCGGTGTATTTTTGTTGGACTGTTTTGATGATTTTCGCATTCTTGCGGGAATTACTTCGTTGGCATGGCATTGAAAAGAATGTTGCAGCTGTTGAAAGACCAGAACAAAAAGTTAGCAATTTAGTTTTTCAAATTTGACTGACAAATTTTTTAGTAGGTAGATTGAAAATTGTGCAAATGGGTTTCTTTTTTTCCCATTCGTATTATTTCTTACCATATTTTTCGACCATTTTCAGGATTTTGTATCACTTTTCTCAGAGTTTGAAGCCATTTACGAACGAAACTGCTACATGCGCGTACGCGATGTTTTTGAACGACCAATCACTAGTGTTCCGGGAGCAACAGTAAAACTCATGGGTCGTAGCTCCGATGATTACAACTGGACCTATAAGTAAGTTTTCATGCTTTTTTTGGACATGAGGTATTAATTGATTTTCTTCCGCAAAATCTACTTTGTTAGTAAATCGAAGGATGCAGAAAGAAAACGTATGAATTGCATTTTTATAGAAAATTGACAGTATCGATTAATTAATCATTTAATTAATGTTTCAAATTCATTAGATACGTAGGAACTGAAACAGAAGTAATCAATGTTGGATCGTATAATTATATGGGATTTGCTGAAGCCAGTAGCTTGTGTGGGAAAGAAGCAGCAGCGATTATCGACGAGCAAGGATTGTCCACATGTTGCTCCATCCAACAGCTAGGTAATATTTGTGCATATTTATTAATTAATTGCAATTGATCATCCGTTTACTTTTTCCTCTTTAATTACTGTTCAGATTCTTCAGTATGGTTATTTGAATATTTACGGATTTTTTTCTCACAAATATATTTCATATATACTGAAATTTACTAAAATATGCGATTCTGAGGTTCAAGACTAGCGATTAGTTAATTTGTTTATTGAAAAGTTAAAATCAAGTGTTCAGGAGATTTTAAAATAAACAATGTTACTAATACATTACATTGTATGTTTTTCTTTTTATACATTTGTATATTACATTGTGTTAAATTTATTTCATTTAAGCTGTTCATGTACTTTCAGTGCAACGTTTCATATCACATTTGCAAAAAAATGTCTTTCGTTTAAAATTTGAATTGACTTAATTTTAAGAACTCATTGTTGTAATTAACATCTGAATGATTCAAATATGAAAACGTTACAGCTGCTGGATCATACGTGAACAATAATTTTATTACATTAGAAATAATACAAAATGAATAAATATATTTAGGATTTTCAAAAGTACAACATGATCTAGAAAAGCTCGTAGCACAGTTTATTGGTGTTGATGACGCTATCTGTTTCAGTATGGGTTTTGCTACTAATTCTCTGAATACACCATGTCTAGCTGATAAAGTAATTTGCACTTTTTTTCTCTTTTTTTTTTATACCGAATCATTTTTAGCTGTAATATATTATATTGCAATGAAATTTCAGGTTGAATTTTTTTTTTGTACCAATATTATTGTTAATTGCAGAATTCAATTATAATTAGTGACCAGTTCAATCATGCGTCACTTATTCTTGGCAGTCGAATGTCTGGAGCAACAGTCCGTATCTTCAAACATGATGGTAGTTTTCTTTTTTCGAAATTTTTTCCATAATTTTTGTAAAGTTTTTATTCATAAATTCTATAATCAGAAAGATGATATGCTACAATTTATCTGCCTCTTTGCTTATAATCATATCCGCATTCAGTTTCAAAAAATTTCACAATTCGAACACTCAGGGGGCGGGGAGGGGGAAATTTAATAATGATAATAGAGAAGAAATACGTTATCATGAATCTTCATTTGTGATTTTCAGAGAAGATGAATATGAGTAAAACAAATTTGTCATTGGTTTATCCAGTTTAAATTCACAGTCAAAATTGTCTTTTCAATTCCTCATTCTACTTTCAGAAATTTACGATCTAATAACAGACAATTACCATTACTAGATTAATTTATGGATTCTTTTTTTATTAAAGATATGGCGGATTTGGAAAGAATTATTCGTAATGCAATCGTGTACGGTAATCCAAAGACGAAAAAACCATTCACTAAGATTTTAATCGTTGTGGAAGGAATATATTCCATGGAGGGTTCAATATGCAATTTGCCGGCCATTATTGCGCTAAAAAAGAAGTACGGTACTTATATATATCTCGACGAGGCGCATTCTATCGGTAAATTTTGTTTAATTCATTTTTAATTGTATTTTTATTCTTGATCAAAAAACTTTAGTGTACATCATTTTTTTCCGGAAATAAGATCAGCTGTATGAGATTTATTTAGACTTTCCTTAAAAGTAAATTCATTAGCTTATTTTTAAATTATAACATATTTTCTACAGTTTCTTTTTTTCTATTTATCGCTTTTACATACAATTCCTAAATTCCTTCATGCAATTTAAAACTAACCTAATGAAATAAGCGTATGCAATTCCTGAATTTTATTCGTTTTTTTTATTGATCTATATAGGAGCAATGGGTTCACGTGGACGTGGTATTGTCGATTATTGGGGTTGTGATCCACATGATGTTGATATTTTAATGGGAACATTCACCAAAAGTTTTAGTGCAGCTGGTGGTTATATTGCAGGTAACAAAGTGAGTATATATTATTGATATATTAGTCTTAAACTAGTCTGTTTTATTTTTTGTCTTTTTTTTTATTACCGTTATTAGATCTTCAAATTATTTTGCATTTCAAAAGGAGTAGATGAATGAAATAGTACAGTTTTGATTCTAAAATACCCATAATGTATTCGAAATTTACTTAATTTTTGAAAATTCGTTCTTATGACCATTCTATTCGCTCTTTCACCTCTTCCACTTTATTCATGATTAGGGGAATATAATGAATGATTTTTTTCAGCGGCTTATAAATTATATACGAGTAAATTCGGCCGCAACAATCTATGCACTTCCGATGTCACCTCCTGTTGCACAGCAGATCATATCATCAATGAAAATTATGATGGGTCTTGATGGTTCTAATGATGGTAAGCGTTACATCATATGATACTTTTCTGCCTATTACATATAGGTACCTGGATTTGTGAGCTCTTTTGTTTGTACATTGATCCTTATATATAGCAATTAATCGTAGAAATCAATTTTTTTTTTTGACAACTAATTATTACAGAATTTATTGGCGCTTTTTCAATGATAGTTTTTTTTCTTTCAGTAATAGTTAAACTCGATACCTTACAGTATGAGTGTAAAATTAAACTTCCAGGTGCTTGGAACTTAAAGCCTGATGTATTTAGTTGTTATCAAACAGAAATCATTATCGCTGATAGATTTCTTTCAATCACGATAAATCTTAATTCTCCAAAAAACTAAATTTTTGATTTGTTTCAGGTGAAATGCGGAGAGAGCATTTACGGCGTAATACTCATTATTTCCGGAAACATTTAAAACGTATGGGTTGTATCGTATGTGGATCAGATGATAGTCCCATTGTTCCAATTATGCTTTATTATCCTACAAAATGCGGGTTAGAAATTAAAATTTCAAATGTGAAGAAAATTTTGGAAATGTTTTGCCTACTATTGCTGAAAAAAGCTGCAAATTTCTGTCTTTAATGATATTTGGATGATTTTTTTTTGAGGTGACTGGAATTTTCAGATATCATTTTTAGATGGAGGCGTTATGGACGGATTCAATTACTTTTGTGTTCCTTACTCCTGAAAATATGTTTCACATTATTCAGTATATGGCATTTTAGCGTGTTTATTTTCATGCAGATTTTCGTTTGAAAAGATATTTTTGTTCTGAAATATGCACTTTTAGGTTTTGGGGTCGCGAAATGCTGAATCGACGTGTGGGAGTTGTAGTGGTTTCATTCCCAGCAACACACATGACTGAAAGTCGAGTAAGAATTTGCCTTAGTGCTGCTCATACCAAAGAAATGCTGGATTATGTGCTTGATGCTATCAAAGAGGTTTCCGAAGCAAGTAATACCCTATCATTACGGATAAAACAGAAATATGCAAATCTAGCGATCGACTGGTAATTATGGCTCATCTAATTTCCAAAAAATCGTATTTTCCTCCACCTCATAAGTAGATTTCCTACTGATCTTTTGTTTTACCCAATATGTATACGCAGATATCCGGTTAGAAATCGAAAAAGAAATAATCTATATTCCTTTTTTAAATTTCAAAACCTTCTCCAACTTCCGGTTTTCATAACTTACATCTCCGAAAAGACATATGTTCTGAAAAGTGAGAACTTTGAAAATTGTCATATTTGAAGAAGTTGCGTGAAATTTCACTTTAAATTACCTTTTATTATTATAATTTCCGCGTAATTATATATGTATTTTCATGTATCATCTAATCAGTGTTTTGTTTGTTCCAGTGAGATAGTTATGGAATAGTTAAGCAATTGAATCATATACATTCCATGAGGTAGTTTAACACGGAACAGCGAAGATCTCTACAGCCTATTTTCAACCGACTTTTACAAAGCTTTCAATAATTGAGATTATTGTAAAGTTTGTCGGATAACTTTCAATTTCAAATAAGCGACTTGAACATGTTGATAAGTGCCTATTATCACAAAGAAAAAAGAAAAATATGATATGGTGATGGTTAATATATATATATATATATATAAGAAAAAGAGAAAACCGTTTAATTTATTATTGTTTTGGTTATTTTATTTTCTAGCCGTATTCACTTCTTTATCATTCATAGGAGACATAACTTATAAGGCAGTATCGTTCATTAAAATTATTCGTATGTTATTACTGATAATTTTGTCAAAGTATCTCGATCTTAAGAGAAATTTCTTGCATTCTTGTTTATATAACAAATTTAGAGATTTAATGAAAATTGAATGGAGATTCATAGGATTTGTAAGATGTTACAATTGAAAAAGATCACATTATCGTTTACTACTAGTATATCATTTGAGAAAGGTGATGATTAAAAAGAAATCAAATCCAAATAGTCATTGTAATGGTGAAGAACATTAAGTGATGAAAGACATAAAATATCGAGGACGCACATCATTTGGTTGGAATTTTCACTGTGTTTGCTTATTCACTGAACAAAACTTGTGCAACAGAAACAAAAAAGTGTAAAAATATATTCGGCTATTAAAACAGAAGTATAAACGGAGACATGAAGTAAGATATGGATGCGGTAGGATGATGCAATGATTTATATGGGACAGATTGTCTCTTATGCCAAATAAAGACGCTAGAGTAGGTAATGTACTATAATAAGCGAACTTTATTGGCTTCTAGAAGATCAGCTATAGATGGATACGGGATGAAATGGATGGAACCAGGTGGCAAATCAACAGTTCTATCTGAAAACATATCAGTCATTTCGGGAATCACTACTTGTTCCTGTTTGTCATTGGTCACTTCGATAATTACCCGTTCAGCGGACATATCAAGTGCAGTAATCGGAAGACGTTGTAACGCCGGCGGTATTCGTTCCAAAAAACTCGCTTCCATTAAATGACGTTTCATCAATTCATAACTGCAATTTCAGGAACATCCATGATTCTGAACTTTTAAAAGCCATGTCTAGTAAATAGGACTAAATAAGACTAACTCGACAAAGGTTTCTCTGGTGAAAAGATCTAGCAGAAATAATCAACATGGCTACCTTTTTTAATAGGATATCTATTTTAACTAACACATTCGCTGCAGTATTACTGTTTAGCAATCGATGCTAGCTAACAGTAAAAGCAAAATGAATTACAGTTAATATACGAATAGACAAAATGTGTTGGAAATTACAAAATTATATTAACCCTATCAATAGAGTTATGAACAAAGAGTAGTAAAACATACCGCTCAGCAAAAACTTTTTCGGCTGAACTAAGCAGACTTGGGGCATTTGTTTTTTCTCGTTCAACATCCTCACTTTTTAATACTTCTACATCCTTTTCGATCTGGAAAATAGGAAATTTTCTAACACTTTGCTTAGCCATGCAGTGGAAAAAATTTCAAAAGGGATTGCCAAAGACACACTTCCCTTACTAGCTAAAATTATACTACATGATATTACTTTTTACTTGACCTAAACAAGTTACTTATTTCTCATTCATAGTTTTTCCGTTAAACAATCACTCTGAACACCCTGCTCATCAATACTCTATTTCCCGCGCAAATAGAAAACCAGGATCACTATACACTGAAATAGTAATTCAAGGCTAGTATTTCAAACGAAATCATTCTGCACTAAACAAGCATAACACTGATATCCTTTGGCGCATCAGTAATTAATAAAATATTCTGGAAGTGTCCGAAAATTTTATGCTAGCATCCATTGGTTATTTAATCCTCGCATGTTTAATTGTAATTTTTTTTAAAATTTCTTCAAATTTAAATTGAAACCTTTTTTAATCGTACTCTAATATACTCATTGACCATATAAGCCAAGCGTTGCACTTCCATCTTATGCAGAATAATTTTCAACGAAGTATGATCTTTACACTTACTAAAATTCTCTTCCATGGATTCTAGTTGATCGATCATTAAATCAACGACAGTCTCCCTTAAAAAAAAAAGTCTAAGAGAAATTTTCCATTTCTTTTCAACATAAACGACCCCATTATTTATATAAGCAAAGTTTAATGAACTACAATTAGTGCTTTGATGAAATATATAAGCTTACAACATATCCGTAACTTACATGTGTGGCAATAGTCGCGGTGCACAAATTTCATTTTGCCATGCAGTAGTAATTTCGTTGACAAGTTGTGAAGGTGTAATCGATTCATCATCATCGTCTTCCACATTATTGGTTTCTTCCATTGCATCCGCTAGTTGTAGCCTTGGCGATGATCTTAATTCCTCTAATGTTGACATCGCAATATCATAGACATTCTCCTCGCCCATTGAAAATTGTCCGCTCATTTTTCCGATTTACTCACAACAAGCTGCATTTCGGAATTCAGGAACCTAAATGCAGGGAAGACTGGTTGCGGATTTGAGGGATTTCTTACGAAAAGTTTACCGGATTTCCGGGAATATAGCTTGACTCCTTCGGAACTTTACAAATTCAAACATATCGTTGTATTTACCCCAAAAATTACTAAACATCTTAGCCGAATAGCGACTTCTTTTGATGAAACATAGCTTAGATACTTCAATTCCAATGAATCTCACTTTCCAACATTTCAGCAGTATGTTTACAGTTAAACTGAAAGAACGAAGAATACCATACTGTTAGCTTCCCTTCCCGCCACCTTAAATGTTTCGACACAACAACCAAACTATAAAGAAAACTTTCTATCTCGCAACAAGGTAATAGAAAAAGAAAACGAAATTGAGGAAACCAAAGAGATTCATACCCTAATCACATTAAGTGAATCAATAAGGATTGATTGTAACAAACATCTCATTTGTAGAATTAAAACTTTGACAAAGATTTCAATTTGACACAGAATAGTAACAGCAATACCATCCAAATTGTAACGCATAAATTAACACGTTGAAGAATTATAACACAACGTGAAGAAAACATTTATTTTTGATAAATACATACAAATTAGAAGAATTCACCAAAAAAAAGAACAATGTTCAAAATAATTTCAAATTATAACTAAAAAAAAAGCTCAACTCAAGAGCCTTTGCTGCTCCTTTTCTTCAAATTATAATAGATTATAAGATTCAATCTAAATTTCCGTAACTTCATTTGCATTAATATGTAACCAAAATGATTGTTCAGCTCTTACCCAAACTATATGCCAAATTTAGTCAGAATTATTAAATTCCTAAGCTAGTTTTTCTACAAACATGCAGTTTATTTGTTCTCTCGAGTTAAACATGCAGTTTATTCCTCCTCACTAGCTTTTTATATGTGCTAATTTTCAAACTATCTTAGCAGTGATGTATGAAACGTTTCATTACTTACTATTTAAACATTTTAGCAAGTCAAGCACCTATCTGTCAATAATATCCTACAACAATTAACAGAACATAATAAATCTCAAAGCAACGGCTGAAGAAATAATAACAAATAGCAGCATTGAATTATAACATGATCAAAAACAAAGTAATTTGTGAATATGAAAATGAGACAAACTGATATCAATTTCAATTAAAAATTTTGATAAAATCATTATCATACTAAAGTCGAATTCATCAGCATAGCTCATCCGATCAACCAATATATGGTATCATCTCATAATAATAATCATACAGATGTATATTAAACATGACGGTGAGCTTTCCAGAAGAGTTTCAGACCATCAATTTAGAAATATTCACTGCTTGAGCTTATCGGTGGTTCACTTGATGCAACTTGATAAAGAAAACTTTCTAATTTCGATTTTGATTATCACTGCAAAACATCTTTTATAAAAAACATACAAATTTAATAACCATTTACGCACAAAATCGAATTTCAAAACACTGATTTATTGCTGATTTGACGGCGTTCCCTGGTGCATAGGTGGCGTAGCAGCATCCGAAGACTCTACTGATTGAGGCATTGAAGTTGGCGGAGGTGCTTGCTGCCCTTGCGGATGCGCATAACCACCAGGTGGTGCATACTACAAATCCGAAACATAAAACTTTTTGGAAATCTGAAGTCTTCACTAACTAATATTAACAGTGTAACATTGTATTTTGCGGGTTGCTTCAATGCTCTATCAACACCTTTATCATGAATTTATACCTGTGGTCCTTGTGGTGGATAGCCCTGAGGATAACCATAGCTTTGACCTGGTGGTGGAGCTGCTACCGAAGTCGGTGGAAAACTTGGCCGTACTGGTTGTCCATAAGCCTAAAATTCAAAACTTCGATATATCCCAACTTATTCCATATGATACCATGATAATCAGACTAAGATTACAAAGCGTAATGATCATTTTCACAATCATTTCTCGGTGTGTGAAATATTTTTTGCAGGTAAAAAGTATAGATTTCATTAAAAAAACATTTATATGATTTAAATAGTGTACCTGCATCGGCTGTTGATAAGGCGGTCGCTGCGCATACTGCTGCGGATAAGGCGGTCGAGTTCCAGGCTGCCCGTAGTATCCTTGTGATGGTGCATTTTGATAACCTAAAACGCTTCATTAGTATAATGAATAAATGGAGATGCAGAAATAATTCACCTGAAATTGCGATGCACACTTATATATCAAAACTGAATGCACCTTGTGGAGGATACTGCTGTGGCGAAGTATTCTGCGCATATTGTGGATATTGCTGCTGTGGTTGATAACCACCCTGAGGGGGATAAGGCTGCTGCTGAGGTGGTGGCTGTTGCTGAGGTGGGACTGGAGCTTGTTGATATTGTTGCTGAGGTGGCGGTACTTGCTGCTGCTGCTGTTGTTGTTGTTGTTGCTGCTGCTGCTGTGGTGGTGGTGGTAAGTGCTGTTGTGGTTGCACACTCATCACTTGAGGGACATTTATAGTACCAGTTGTAGAGCTTGGTTGCTGAGGTGGCGGCTGTAGAGTCTGGATAGGTTGTGGAGGTTGCTGGGTTTGTGGATGCTGCTGTTGCTGCACCTGCGGTGGTATCGCAGTCATATTTGGTTGTGATGATACTGCTGACATGCTTGCTTGTGGTGGTACTACAGTCATACTTGATTGCGGTGGTCCAGCAGTCATAGTTGATTGAGGCGGTACGGCAGTTATATTTGGTTGCAATGGTACTGCAGTAATGTTTGATTGCGGTGTTACTAAAGGAGAAGCTGGAATAAGTGCCTGCGACACTTGAGGCATAGCAACGGATACTGCAGTAGCTGACGTCTCTGAGGTATCCATTTTTTGAGCTAAAAAATCCAAAGTATCAGGACAATAGGAGTGAAATTAAATTATATTCAAGGTAATAGTTGATAAACAAATATCGGTGGATGAATTAGATAAGTACATAATGCTCGTATACACTTATACTACCGTCAAACATTAAAACTGTTTTTTTTTGATTTTGGTGTGCATAATATAACTTAATAGTAATAAACAAACCACTATCATGAGGCATTTGTGCTTGCATTGATGCTAGACCTCCAGCTGGTGGACATGTGGATGACATAGAGGAGGTAGAAACACCCACAGAATGTGCGGGTACTTGCACTTGCTGCTGAGGCTGAGGTGGACCGCTAACTTCAAAACCAGGTGGTAAGCTTGGCGGTAGCTGACCTACAATTTTGATTTTTTTTATGTGCAGTTGCCAACTATGTTGAAATTAATTTTTAAAAAAAAGAAAACAATATGGACCTTGGAATTATTCTTGGATTGAAATAACAGTAATTAAAAATGTAACAATGTTTGGGCCATGCTCAATAAAAAAGAAATGCCGGCCACATCTAAGACATCTAATTCTCCCATTGATTGAGAGTGATCCAAAGTGACTCCACGCTCATCAACATTAGTCCAGAAGCGAGGATTTGAAGAGCTTCAAAAACTTTGAGAAAGAACTGGAAATTTACCACCGGCAACAAGCTTTGACTGTGCTTCATGTTTAGCACGTTGTTCAAGATAACGTAATTGATCCATGTGAAACGACTGTCGTTCCAGAATTAGTTGCTGTCGTTGATATTCAAGCTGCAATTGTATGGACGATTATAAATGGTCCAGATCTAAGCAAATCTAGATGAGAATTTAATCTAAATCAACTTAAGCCGAATCTATAGCAATTCTAGAAAATCAACGCTAACCGCCTCTCGTTCTTTATCCATTATTGCTTCAAGTTCATCAAAGTGACGTAATTTCATTTCCAGCTTCTTCATTTGTGTTTCGACTAATTGGGCAACCAATGACTTGATGCGTCTTTCTTCTATCGCAGCTAGATGCTAGAGCAGATTTTATAAATCAGTGATATTGAAAAACTACTGAAATGAAATATTTCATTATCTGTAAAATATTAATTATTTTAACTTAAACGTCTGTGAAGTGCTCATGGTAGAACGGCTGTGATGGTTCTCTCACAGCATAGGTTTGCAGCAGTCAGAAAGACAGCTGTAAATAAAATAAGTCAATGTTTGATAAACAAAGAATAAACGATAACCAGTTCGTCTGATTACTCAGCCTCAATGCTGCATTCGAATATTCCAGAAAGCTCCAATAAAACTTTCAATCTTTCTGGGAACAGTAATAGATGTAATGTCTCTTTATAATTCTGTTATATTTAGGGAAATTTATTTTCCATTGTCTTTAACTAACCTTTGCTTTCACTGCAGCTGCAGCAAGCGCTGCAGCAGCTGCCGCTTGCACTGTTTCAGAAACTTTACTTTTATTATCTTCTTTCTGCTTATCGCATGATTCAGCTGCTTCTTTGTTCCCCTCAGCTGAAGAACAACTTTTCATTTCTTCAGACTGAATATCCATCGGTTCTGGCCCTTTATCTTTGTCGGCTAAAAGAAAAAATCCAGAAACTTGCTGAAAGCGCATAAATTTCAATAACTTGAAGTCATTCACTTTTCTTACCGCAAAACTCAAAAATGTAAGACTTACTTTTGTCATCAGCAATTCCAGAAACACTCAGACCTGCACTACCATCAATCTTACCACCTGCTGATGCCGCTTCTACGTTAAGGGCATGCGCTTCAGCAACCAACGGAGGCACTTCCTCTTTCATCTTCGCAAATTCTTCTACAAACAAACGTACTATGATGAAATTCCGCTAGAACTTTTAAAAAATAAAAAAGTACAGATATAATCTGATCACGCCGCCTTTCAAGAAAATCTTTTTTGAATTACAACTTAGAATGAAGATGTTTTGTAAATACGTATTAAAATGATAAGTTATTTCGTAGTAAAAAAAAAAGTGAGAGCGAAGGGAGAACAAGAACTTCCAAAATTGACTAAAATGGAAGCTGGATTATTTCCATTTTAAAAATTCTTAGTAGTTAAATATTTTTAAGCAGTACCTAATGCAGCTTTTGCAGCTTTGGATGCAACTCGCGGATCAACAACGGACGCGAGGAATGCTACCGTCGACATTATTGGGTTACCTGCTTGGCTGAATGCCATTGGCTGGTAAGCTAGAGGACCTGAAGTACATTTTATTATTATATACATACATATATATATATATATGTAATCTGAAAACTATATAAAATTAATGACACTCAAAAAGAAAAAAGATTCACTAACCCAAAACCTCAGCTTCGGCACCTCCATCTTCTAAATATGGGTCCTGAATAGGCAACTGCAAGAACCGCATAATGCATTCATCTTGTGTGCGAGACCCAACATGATCAGCAACCTAAACGACAAAAAACAATATTATTAAATCGAGAGGGAAGGAAGAATCATATGTTTAAACAACTGTCAACAATTCAGATAGTAGCTAGGAGCTTGAAGGTTACATTCCAAGCTGAACACCTCTCCCGCCTTCCATAAGTCTATAAATTGTGTACTTTGTTCCAATCATCCTTGAACATTTCTAAACCTTCCAATAGCAATAGCGTTTCCTGATCAGTCCAGTCTCTGTTTGGAGCTGCTCCTCGCATCTGCAAACCCTTCCTTTACAAAATTGATAAGTGAAATCAACTTTGATCAAGAATTGATTAAATAAATTTTAATGAATAATTAAAAAGTCGCTGAGAACACGTCATTGTCAGAACGGTTTTTTTCCCAATGATTTTTTTTTTTCCAAATGATCTAATCATTTTCACATTATTTTATCATAAGAACAATAATCCCTTCAAAATAAGTTTTTCAATGATTAAACAATAAAAAATCACTGACCTTCATCGTAGCAAGGTGCTTTGCATACATATCGGTCTTCAAGCCAGCATCACCTAACTTTTCAATCTTGACCGTCACGTTACCCTCATCTTTTGTACTTTCATCATCTTTTTCTTTATCCTTTTCTTTTTCTCTTTTTCTTTTTAATTTCATCACTCTGAAGTAGTTCGAAAAAATGAACAACTCTAAACCATTTAACAACAATCAACTCCTGATACTTTTAATACAAGTGAGCAAAAAGCAAAAGGCTTAGCAAAATCTCTGATTTACACTCTCAGTGTTCGTACGAATAAAAACGCATTGTCAATCATAATCGCTCTGAACAGACCGCGATTTTGTCGTCATAGAGCTCAATCAGAGGTCGAACTTTGTGATAAGCCTTCATTTAACAACTACACCACTATACCATCCTCAATAACTTTATTTAATAACTTCCATTAAAACAGCCTTTAAAATAACCCAAACTCTTCATCCAACATTTGCATAGACTTAAATTTTTCGATAATCACCTGATTTTTTGCCGTACTCATTGCTGTGGATACAAAAAAAGATTTTTGTGCTCAGAAGTACGCTGATAGATGAAATTATGTTTTACCACTGTAGTAGTTTAATTTAAGATGTTAAGCCTTCTAAGCTTAGCATCTTAAATTAAACTGAGAAATGAGTACTGAGTACAGTTGATGAACAGACGTGAAGTTTAATAAGTTTATAAATTAAAAGTAATAAGGAAGTTCTGAAAGTAAAGACTAAACCTGAGAGAGATTCGGAGTTGGTTGTATGGGCTGAATGCCCATTGGTGTATCCGCCAGTACCATAAAATGAGAAGTACACGGGGGTGCTACTGGTGCTGGGCGTGCTTCCGAATCAACCTGGTAGTTTATAAGACCCCACTGTTCCAAAAATGAATGCACTCTATAATGGTGAAATGTGTAATTGTCAAATCGTAATTAGAACTGACTGAAAGATCACGTGGACTTCAAAACGATGAACAGTTTGATCGCTTTTATAGAATGTCTCCTTAAATCATTAACTTCTTTTGACAAGATTTCTTTGGTTTATAATCAAAAGTTCTGCCACATAATGGAAGAGAAACAAGAAACAGAATGTCTAGAATTATGGAAGATGTACGGAATTCACTCTCTTGAATGCTTTCTTAAATTCCTATAGTATCATCTTAATTTATAGCGCAGATAAAAGAAAATAAATGTATTAAAAAAAAAATCGTGCTATTTCACCGTCGAAGATAAGAAATTAAGCCTTGAAATTTACCGTAATATAGAGCATACATCACCGCCAAGATTTCTTCGACATGCTGTAGAAGACAAATATTCAAAAGGATTCAAACGATATGTATCAATCATGAAATTACGATAAGCCATATATCTATAACAAAATTACGTGTAAAACTTCAGCGCATCACAGAATCCCATCAATCTTTTATTGCCATTTTTTCTAGAAGTCTAATAGTTTCGACTTTTGGATTTTTCCGTTTAAAGAACCAAATCCTTATTCAAAAGACACGCAGAGACGTAAAACGTGACAGATCTTGTTTAGTTTCTTAATCAAAGACAGTCTTTTAGGCATACACTTCGGGTGATTTGCTTTTGTTTCGGCCATTAAAAAATTCAGGCACTCCACGTTTTTCGATCTGATGAATAGCATTATAATCAAACCATGCTGCATACGATGGTATGATTATATAATGCGTCTGTTCGATAACGTTACCATCCTGCAAGCATATTTTTGTATGTTATGATATAACTTGAAAAGTAACTATTCAATTCACTGTTTGACGAAGAACTGATGTGAGAATATTCCAAAATCAGGGTGCACTAGCCCTTTTCATTTTCTTCAGTGACAGAAGATTTATCTCTGACAGTACAAGCTTCATTATCACTATGTAAAGTATGGAAGATTTTAAGTTAGCAGCCATAAGTTTAAACCTCGACCTTCATGAAAGTAACCTGAATGCTCCTATTACCTATGGCCTCAAATATTATCAAAATAACAAAATATGGTTTAGTTTTCTAAGTTCCAGTGGTCAATGCTTGCCTACCTCTCCTTCTTTGATACCTTCTTCATCTAAATCCGTCAATTTTTGCGACTTTGGTGCAGAATATTCTACATCTTTCTCTTTTCCTGAAAATTTTCAATTTGTAATAGTAATATATATATATATATATATAATGCATTGCATAATATATTGTAATATATACATAATATATTGTAATATAAATGCTAATATATTGTAATATATTATGCATTTGAGCAAGATTGCTGAAGCTTATGCTACATGCTGCGGGAAATCTAAAAAGCCGCACTTGACTATCCCTGATAATATTTACCAAAACATTTCCCGCAGATTCGCTAGACACCTGCCTACGCATCTCCATACATCCCCATTAGTTTTAAAACCATGTTCTTAAAAATCAAGATGAAATGTCAAGGTATATCATGCAAGAATAATATACACCATATAATTTATAAAAATATCATATAAGGATGGAAAGGAAGCAAAACGAAAGAAGCTGATAGTTTGAAGAGAGTGACGAAAAAGAGATGGGATCAAGGATAAATAAGCATAATGCGTTACCTATAAGCTTAAAAAACGATCCTACAACTTCTCATCCCCCTATAAATAAGTAATAAAACCTTTTGGTATGGAAACCATTGTGAGTCCGCTTCGACTATCTTCTTCATCCTGTACCGAAGTGGAATCATCTTCCTCTCGCCTCCGTTTCTGTCCACTACAACATGAACACATTTATATGTGTATCAAAGTTATCATTAGAAAATTCAAACTTTTCAATAGCATGTGTCCAAAAAAGGTGATGTTGCTCATGTTTGATTGGTTCTGCATCGTAGGCTTCTTCGGAGAAACCTCCGATGTCAACCATAAAATCGTTAATGTCAAACTATGCTAATAAAAGCCGTCAAGTGTCAACCATCCAAATTAGCGGTTATGCATTTTCGGTTTAATTGACAATTCTGGAGTGAACATATCATCCGACGTTTTCTGACACTGTCATCTCTACACTGTTATTCAAAAGGGAGTAGACAAACATAACAGTTTTAAACAGTATAAGGCACAAAAGCAATAATATAATAAGAAAACACTATGCTTAGCACGAACATGAATAAAAATTGGTACATCTAAAAGTATAAAAGCAAGCGTAACCCTAATGACTAGACAGAGAAAGACATTTTCATTACCTCTTCCGAACGGCGACTTTGCTATTGGACATGCTGTTGGATAAAATACGATGCTACCTCGACGATCGCTCCAATATGATCTGCACTCCAAAATTTTGACACCTTCACAGTACACATAATATCAGAATAAGAAAAGAGTAAATCGATGAGTTCGTTTCAACGAATCAACTAATATATAGTAATGCATATCCTATGACATTTTATCATACGAGAAGATACTTTCGCAACAATTATTTTTACACAATAATGGATAACATCTACTATTTGCCTCAACATAAGTCTAGCCATCTTTGTATTGAATTAGTAAGAAATAGAGATCCGTGATAAGTTGCGTATTATATTCCGAACAAGGAATCATTTAATTCAAACAGATGAATAGAACATCACAATAATGTCTAATATTTAAAACATTACAAGTAGAAATTAAATGATAAAATCAATGTTAATAAAGTGAGAATCTATTAAATGAGAATCTATTAAACTACATATCTCATGTAACTCATTCTATCAATGTAATACTTCCGAAATCCTGGAATACAATCACGTATTACACGTATAAACATCCATACCACTCGCTATGTGAACCACGGAGGAGACACCCGATCGATTCACCAAACCACCTGCGTCAAACCATAAAATTATCGTTGCATCATTAATGCGTTGTGCAAATCTTCTTTCCGCATGAGAATTATTCCAAACAGATTTTGTTTATTACAAATGGTAATCATTCCTTCCTTCTATTGGGAATCAGTCATTCAATGCAAATCGAACACTTTCATAAGTGCTGCAAATTTTTGTGCATTTAAAAGTGCTGCATGCAAACTGCAAACAAAACATACAAAATAAAGATTTCATGTAAGGTAAATTAAAAATTTGAAAATTTGTAAAAATTAATGGTATAGCTTCTTATCAAACTTATAGAATTGTAAACATAATATTCTCTACAATCAAATATCGTATGTTTTCTGTAATCAAATACATATACTCCACACTATTAAATAATGTATATTCTCTCCATAGTGAAATACTATATATTCGTCTACAATCAAATACCGTACATTCTATGCAATCAAAATGAAATATCGTATCCATGTGAAAATATTTTAATTTTAATGCACAATGCAAATAAACCGAATGTAATGTTGAATTTAACCTGTAAATTTTCAATAATTAATGAATCAGAGAATCTTAAAATAGACATCTGAAATGTAGCTAGAATGATTTCTAGATTATAAATTAGTTTATTTGAAAATAATTAAGTCATTTTTTATATTTACTTGAAACTGTGAAAGGTTGGTTCCTCCTAACAGCTATCATTTCGATTTCAATTCCAAATTATGATTGACAGATTAGTTTAGAGATGGGAAGCATTGAGAAATGTTTCATTAGGAAGATCATATTTGTGCAGTTCTACTCAACATTAATAAAATTATTAATGAAACTAATTAACACAACAGCTAATTATTTATTTAATTTTTTTGAATAATCTATTTTTTGAACAGACAAATTACATTATTAATTCATTTTTCTCCCAAATGTTTATATATTTTTTTTTTCTCATCTTTTCAGATCAAATTAAACACTCGATTGTTACATTCGCTGTCGGCTCTAATTAATTAATTAATTAATTTCATGTTTTTATAAAGTGGTGACATTTTTCAGTAGATATTTTACAGCAGTTGACAGAGAACGGGGAAAGCAAGTGTAATCACTCAAATGGAAACAATTAAAAGTTCGAAAACTGATAAATGTGATCAAAAAAAACACAATTTCAATGCAAATAACAGTTTAATTAAAAAGGTTCAGTTATCCCGTTATTAATGAAATTATTGAATATTCGAGAGCACAGTACTGTAATCCATGTTATGTTTGTCATATTAAAATATTAATTGCTAGCCTAATAAGCCAAATTACTGTATGCATACTTTTGTATATTTACTTGTACGTTAAGGAAAATAGTCCACAAATCTAGGATAAATTGATGGAATGATTGTATATGCGGTAAAATTAATCGTTGCATTTGATCATTTTGATTATATTAATTCAGTGATTCAGATGTTAGGTTCAGTAATTCTGGTGCTAAATTTAATTTCAGTGATTCAGATGTTAGGTTCAGTAATTCTGGTGCTAAATTTAATTTCAGTGATTCAGATGTTAGGTTCAGTGATTCAGATATTAAATTTAAGTTTAATGATTCAGATTCTAATTTAATTTTTATTTTTTCCCCAAACACCTACTAATTTACACCAATCATTTAAATGTTTCAGGAGAAAGAAGAGATATGTGATGTGTTCACAGAGAAGGATAAATGTATTGTTTCGAAGAATTCAAGAGCATATCGATTGATGAAATATTTGGGCAAAGGCGGTTATGGAGAAGTTTACGAATGTATCTCGGAAACTACTAAAAAGTTCAAATAAATTTACATATTTTATTTCTTGCACTTAATATTTGCTCATTTATTGCCGTATTTTCAGAAACTTTATCAGCAAATTTCTGCAAATTTTGTTCAATCTTAATGGCATATAAATGTCAACTAATATTAATTGCAATTTTAACAGATATTAAATTTAGATAAAAATGGATATCAGCATGTTGCACTGCATATATTTATTGTATATTAGAATGATTATAGGCTAAATATGATGTGGCTAGTTTGTTAGTTTTGTGGTTCTAAGCTAACCAGTACTAAATTTAGATCAGATTGATCAAATTTTACTAAATATCAGTAGTACTATTATCATGCATGTAAATATGATCAAATTTATCAGTTGATAACATATTATCCAATGTGGGATGTTTGCTTGCAATGATATTTGCTAAGCAGCTCATTAGCATAATTACCATATTGATTGATTACAAGCAATTGAAATGTTAAATGACATTTTTTTTTTTGCAATTCTTACTACTGTTTACTTAGAATTTATGCATTGAAAAGGGAAAGTATATTACGAACAAAAATTCCCAATGAGATTGAAATATTGAAGAGAGCAAGTGAATGTGATTGTAAACAAATTTGCAAATATGTTGACGATGTAAGTTTTTCACTGAACGATGTGTTATAGCATAGGAATTATCGATTAACTTCAAAAAAAAAAAAGAAACAAAATTGAATGTACAATTACTTGTAAATAGAGAAAGTTGCATATTCCTAAAAATCTTACAATAAACATGGAAATGATTTTTGTAGCATATTAATAGGTGGAAAATTGAGAGAGTTGAGTTCAAAATTCCAATTATTTAATTAAGTTATAGAGTAAGTATTTAAAAATTATGCAAAACAAAAGCAGGAGTGAGGAAGCGATTCTTTTCCTTCACGAGTGACTTATTTAATGATTTATTTGAAAAGCGAATTCAATTTTAAATTGATTTCGAATTTTGCTTTGATTATTTATTTGTTAAACTTTCGAAATTATAGGGAAGACAAGATGACTATGTATTTGTGATAATGACATTACTTGGGAAAGATTTGTCAAGATTACGACGTGAAAGAAAAAGCAAGAATTTTTCCATGAATACTTCAATTCGTGTTGGATTATTAACGCTTTCAGCAATTCGAGAACTTCATGAAATATTTGTCATTTCAAGGTCAAATAATTTTTCCTTCTTTTTTTTTCCATTTCCGCAATTTTTTATAATTTATTTTTAACTTTCCTTTTCTTAATTTTAAAATTAAAGTAAGCAAAATTGCTTTTCAAAATAAACTCTTCATAGATTTTTAATAAAATTCTTTCTTTTTTTTTCTTTTGCATTTGCCAAACAAGTTTACAACCTGATTTCCTGAGAGCTGTATTCGTCCTCCCGATATTAGCATGTTTGTATTTTCAGTTATATTCGTGCATGAATTCCTGGAGGACATTTTCGTTTTGCTATTTCATCCAAACATTTCAGTTCTTGCTTATTTATACAGTTTGAAGTTTGATTAGTAATTATTACCATTTGAAAGTTGATTTTTTAATTGAGGTATAAATTTCAGAGATATTAAGCCAAGTAATTTTGCATTAGGTATTAGCAAAGAATCCAGAAATATTTATATTTTTGATTTTGGACTCTCTCGATTCTATAGAAATCAGGTATATTGATTAAATTTTAAATTTCATTCTTTGCAATTTTGATTTTAAATTAAAATTTTTAAAAAATTCAAGACTACAGGATGGATCAATTTTACCAGCAAAACGTCGTACGGGTTTTCGTGGAACAACACGATATGCTTCACTACGAGCACATCAAAAACTTGAGCTTGGTTTGTCCTTCCATCAAGTTTATCTAATTTGTTAGGTCAAATAATACTAGTGTTTCATTTCCGGTCGACGAGATGATTTGGAATCATGGCTGTATGTAATGGTTGAATTATCTAGTGGTACTTTACCATGGAGAACACCGAAAAGTGAAGTTTAACTTCTTTTTTTTGAAAAAAAAAGTTCATTACTTTTTGGAATCAAAATTGAAATTTGAAATACACTCCATAATCTGCAATATGTACAAATCATATCGAAATTAATGTAGTAAATAATATTGACAAAAATAACTACAAGTTTATCAGTGATGCTACAAGCTTATCAATCATGATTTAAACAGAAAAGATATACTTCAGTAATTATCGCTTTTAATGCATTATTCATGAAACTAGGAAGAAATTAAATGATTAAGTTAGGAAATGGAAGTAAAGTTTTAATGCATATTATGATTTGCCCTTGTACCACCTAAAATTGGAATATTTTAAATATCGACCACCACTACCAACGAACTGTCCATTTAGCTAGCCTATCCAAACGAATTCTGTCATTTCATCCGTAATTTTTTACAATATTCCACTTCTTCTATTACGTCTTGTCCAATTCCTTTTATACATATATATATATATATATATATATATATATATATATATATATATATAT